AGTAAATTCAAATTTAATATACATATTTAGCAGATAAAACTTTGGAAAAACCAAATATTTTAAAATACAGATATTTCTAAAGCAGTGCACGCAAAAGCAGAATGCCCTATAATACATGAGATGCCAAGTCACATTTTGGGAATCCAAATAATAAGCTCCTGGTTGTGAATCATGCTGACAATAAGAGAGTGGTGAAGAGATTAGATTGAGGGAAACCAGAAGAGTTATTCTTCTGTTGTCACTATGGAGAAAGAAGATCCATTAAGGACAGTGGGATTTATTTCTAAATAAATATTGATACATTTGTACTTGAATAATTGTAACCAAGAACTGAGTGCCAATGGTTTGGAGTTATTAGCTGTTTTCTTACATTTTGTGAAGATTCTACACTCCAATTAAATGGAGCCACAGGAGTAGCCATAGGAGTCCAGAAAGTGGAGTGGAACTATTGTTGGGAAAGCATACCCTCTCCAATTTGGAGCTGGTCCTGAGCCGTGGTCCAATACTCTACAAGGGGCCTCTGTTCACTTGTGATGCCCTTAACAAACTACAGCTTCTCCATTTTCTTCTGTACTTGGGAGAATTCTGCACGTGACCTTTCTAGGAAAAATATATTCGAACTACCACGTCAAATGATTAAATGTATTTGGTATATTTATATTTATTCTTCTAAGGACCTCATATGAATGTACATGGTTCTTCCCTTCTCCTATTTGATTTGAACAATTATTCTGAACGGTAATATTAGGCTAATAGTGACTTTTCCAGATCCACAGAGGTTAGCTTCATAGTTAAATAGTAATTTGAACCTAATTCTTCCTGATCTTAGTTCAGCAGTCCAGCTGTAGTTTTTATGTCACACTGGCTCTCATTCCTTATGAAAGCCTCTAGTTTCTGTCCTCACGACCATTGCTGATGTAGAAAATAGCCCTCATAAAGAAGGAGAAACCTCAGTCTTTTGTGAGGTAGAGTCACAACTTCACATTTAATGACTTTTCATCTTTGTGCCTTTTACAGATAATGGAAGGTACAGCTATTAAGATTTTCTGGACTGTATAAAATCATAATATTTGTATTCATTCTTTCTTTTTGAAGGTTCTGCTAAAGATTTAATACGTACACATTTTATGGATGGTATGTGTGAACTAGCTATGGCTTACATCCTCCAAGGGGTATTGAAGGCTCTTGATTATATACACCATATGGGTTATGTGCATAGGTAAGAAAGATCATTGCAAATTGTAACTAGTAAAAAAAGTCATTTTCAGCTTTGTCTTCCCACAAGACATTGGGAAACTGTAGTCATCATAATATCTTATTAGAAATTGTATTTACACACACACACATACACACAATTACAACAGTAGTTCTTTGCAGCCACTGTGCATTAGCTTATATCGCAGGTTACACTAGTATATATATGCAAACCATGCTGCCATATTTCCATGATATTACACAATATTAACAAGCAGCTGGACCCAAGCAACTATTATCCTAAGCTTCTTAGCAGATTTTTCTAGAGTTAGAGAGAATGAATAAGCGATAAGGTTTCAGTCTTTTACCCAGGTATAAGCAAAATGTCTGAACTTGCCTATATGCTCTTTGCTCACATTAGTATTGCCACAGCTGAAATATTTGCTGAGTTTGTCAATGATGCCTTCTGTCTCAAATCCCAGAGTTTTTGTTTCTAGGTATAAAATGGTTTGGATGGGTGGGGGGTTTGTGGCTGTTTTCTCTCTGTCCTTTTTGCATGCAGGAGTGTGAAGGCCAGTCATATCCTGATTTCTGCAGATGGAAAAGTATATCTCTCTGGCTTGCGCAGTAACCTCAGCATGATCAGTCATGGCCAGCGTCTCAAAGTAGTTCATGATTTCCCCAAATACAGCATCAAAGTCCTACCATGGCTTAGTCCAGAAGTCTTGCAGCAGGTATGTTTGTTTTCTTGGTATCATGTTCTTCAACTTTTAAGTGTGCATGTCCATTTGTTAAACAATCTGTCCCTTTAATATAATGAATTGTATGGCACTCCCATCTTGTCTATTTTATATTGATTTCTGAACAGCTTCAGATAGTGTCTTTTTAAAGCCACTTGGTGTTCTGACTCTAGATGTTTCAATATCTTTCTTTTCCTCATTCTTGAGAAATTTTTTTTTCTCTGACATGGGTGCATCAATAAAAGCATTTATAAATATTGTTTGATGGATGGATT